CCGTCTTCGATATTCAAAAACTTATTACGTCCCCCTCAAGCAATTTTCCATTTGAACCTCTTTAAATATGAACAACCTCACGTTCGAACCATCTTTAAAAAGTATACATTTAGGAAAACCGTTTATTCATAATAACTGGGGAATCAGACCCCCTGTCGTTCCCTGGGCAATTTGTCTAATACCTAAGGTAGGGTGACGGCGCCGAGAAGGCCATACTGTCCAATCTAGGCTAGGTACATCGTAAAATTACATACATATACATTTTTAATGACTTAATGTATGCTCGGTGGTAATTACGGCTTGTAATGAGTCCTTCGACAACCAATTACGGTGAAGCGATGAGTTAGGTCGTGTTCTAGGTCTAAGAAATATAGTTTTTAATGATTTTATGACGTTAGTGTTAGTTTATGTTTGATATCTATAGAAACTGTAAGAAATGGCGGGAAAGAAATTCATATAAAAAGATTGCATTAGATTTTTGAATTCTTATAGTTTTGATATTCATTTGTACAAAAAGTATGGTGACCAAATATTTTAGGGACATTTCTTTTTTTACAGAAACCTTGGGCAAAAAAGTTGATAAAAACAACGTCAGTAAAATTATTGACATATTTACGTTCTGATTGCAATACTATGACAATCAGTACTTTATCTAAATAACAGTAATACATAAATAATACATTTGCCCGTATCTATGCGCTCGAGAAAATGTCAAATATTCCCACAGAGTGTATAGGGCAGGGAAAAACATGGCGTGCCAATTTCTTTGACTTACTTTATTGAGATTAATTATTGTTATTATGTAGTAGGCTCGTTATGTAAGGTGTATGGATAATTTATTGATGAAGCAATGTACTAAAGTCTAAGATATGTCAGGTTTGATTCAGTAATTCAGTATCTATTAAGTATGGTAATTCTAATTAGTAATATGAATCTTACTCATTTTCTAAACACGTTTTTGACTACACGGTATATAAAACTGACTTTTTTGCTTTCAATATTTTTATGAAAAAGAGCTATTATACCTATATTAGTTAGGCAACTTCAGTCAATCAAATTGTTTATAGATATTTTTTTGTATCAGAACTTATTCCAATGCTTTGACATGATGCAGTGGCAACAGACTTATACCCTTTTGCCATGTTTCATTTACATAGTTAACTGCTAACAATACTTATTTAACAATATCAGATAACTCCTTGCCTATCCTTTCGAGGTAAACAAGCGTAATCTCATGTAATTTGGAATAAATAAACCTTATTCTGTGCAGTTATTCATACGATCTAAATAAAAGATATGCCTGGCTTAACAATTTGGTAGCTCGTTCCGTTCACTTTGTATAATTTAGTCGTTAAAGTGCTAGAATATAAATATTTTAAGATTGACTATTGATTGGGTCTTAATAGGACAATGCTGTTAGGTTTCTATTGAAATTTTAATCAGAAAACGAGTAGAAAATTCTAAAATAATACGTAATAAACGATAATTTCTGTAACACTAAAGATTTTATACAATTTAAGAGTAATATTACAGTTTTTAATCCCAGAAAAAAAGCTCATACCACCTTAATGTAAAACTAAAAAAACAACAAATAATTTAAAAATATTTTTTCCATATTTTCTTCAAAAATAACGGTTTCGAACGCACCGGACCGTCAAGTACCTACCCACCTTTATACAAGTACAGTCAACAACAAAACCGCCAGTAAAACCGATACGACGTGATCACGTGCACACAACAAAAACAATTACAATGAGCTTAACATCAGTAACGTTCTAATAAAGTGACGTATTGAATGCGCAGTAAACTCACGCAGGTACGGTTAGCAAAACAATGGGTTTTATCAGAAAATAAAGTCCTTTACTTTAATGGTGGTTATCAACATTATAAATTATGTTTGAGTACTTGTGTTGTTGGCATGTCGTCTGACTGAGCTATTTCCTTTATATTTGTATGGTTTGCAATGAAATCTAAGTTTCTTGATATAGGCGATAATGGCGTTTAATGGTATTTGCTTGGATAGTCTAATAGGTAGTGCATCACAAAGGTCTAAGTGCAATTTTATTATTACCTGTTCGAAGTACGTTAGACTTTAATACATTTCTATATTTGGTAATATTCATAAGGTCTTTCATGAGGTCTCTGTAGTAATTGGAGTATTAAATTGATTGAAAACAAAAATAGAATTTAGAATGTTTTTTTTTTTTAATTGGCTGGTGAACTTATGCTACCTACTTAACAATTTTGTGATACCTACACAATTATGTGATACCTACTAGACAAAATAAATTAAGTAGATTACTTTTTTACGATAATACCAAATCGAAGCTATTAAAAATGTTAATTTTTGATTGAAATTACCCACCCAAAACACATTAACAAGTAAATTACATATATTCAAAAATAATAAGCTTTTATAGTGAATCATTATATTAGGTAATACCTATCCTACCTGTTATGCTGTCGGTACTTTTACGTATTGTTTACTTGGCACTAAGTGTTGAGAGAAGCGGGTAACAAGACCTAGATTATATCGTACAAATACGTATTTTGTATATAAATACACACATACATACATACACTTTTAGTAAAACGTAAACAGGACGCTCTGCCAACGGTTTCGCAATTAGAAAATAAATTAAACTAGATTACTTTTAGTTTTTAGATATTTTTTTTAGAAAAGTATTCGGTATCCGTTTGGCGTGTCGTTATATGGCGTCACTTGAGTAAAGTGGACGCTGTTTGACATTTTACAGTAAAAAAACAAAAGAAAATAAAAGTCTTTAGGGACAAAAATAATGCAATTGTACGAAAAAAAATTCAAATGCAAATATTATCTATGGGCGTTTTGAACTCTTTATCGAGATGTTGCTATAGTAAACTACCCTTTCATTACATAATTAGTGTCTCATCTTTAAAGACCCAAACTTAAACATCTTAATACATTTTAACTTTTACATACCAAACACCGAACCATCCTTCAATTAGTAAAAATTAAAACATTTAAAATTTCTGACAACGCGCCATTGGAGTGCTGTAAAAAAAAATAACAGGCAAAGGTGCGGTAATGACCGGCCAAGTCTATCGATCGACGCAAAACGCATCGTCACCCTATTTGATGGGTCGACAGTACAAAATGGACGATATCATGTACTATGGGTATCTAAAGAAGGTTTTGATGCATCTTTAGATTAAGGGACACGTTAGCATAATCAGCTATGGCTGGTGTTTGGGGCGTACCTACCTAAAAATTTTCGAATAGGATTCGGGTATGGTTGTTTGTGGTATCGTAGTGAACACATGCTAAAATAAAAGCAATAGTCTTCCAAAAATAAGTGCAAGTTATTGTTAATAATTTATGCGAAAAAACAGACTCAAAATTTATGGGAAGGGGTTTGAAAAATTACTTACTTTTTTCTAATTTAACGTTTCTGCGTTTAATATAATAGGTATTTAAATTGTTTCTTATACGAACTTAAAATCATTTAAGAAACGTCCTATTGACTGAAATGCGGAAATAAAATAGACACTGATAACTCCTGCATACCTATAATATTGGAATGGAATGCTACTTCATTTGTTATTGTAAAGATAAATATGTAAATAATAAGCACCTACTTATAAATAAACATGGCGGATTCATACTTAATTTAATTCAAAGTATTCTCAAATAGAAATCCTAATATTGACTTCATAAGAACCTTCTAATTATAATTAATTATGGCACAAGTCGACCATTTTGTATTTCATATGTCAAAATAATAATTTTAATTTCATTAATTTAATATTATCGACCCGTCAAAAGCAAGGAAGCTCTCCTATAATTAAATTGTAATAAAATTCATATTACTTAATGGTGGAAAATATTATATTTAAATGTAATCAAGAAGAAACAAAAATAGGTTCATGCAATATCTATTTTCGTGTCGGAGGTCATCGAACTTTATGTTATTTTTGAAAACAAAATGTCTGCGATGCATTTAAATTTATAAATTGACGAATTTATAAATTGACGAATTTATTTACCGTCTACTGCGACTGCGACCATCAAGGTTTCTAAAAGACAATTTCAAACAAAGAAAGCTAATACGTTATTATTTCTTAAATCAATATTAAGATAGACAACGAAACAATATCCATACAGCCAACGTATGTCTTAAGTTTAATCTGTCATTATAGAATAGTACACAAAAGAACCACAAGAGGGCCTGTCAATTTTTTTAAACGTTTCTAATCTGCTTAAAAGCACAGGCACGCATTCTAAAAGCCTATGGTGTTTAATTGAGGGTCGCCATTGATGTTAGATAGCCATCATGATGACTTAAACATTTTTAATGAATATTCAACGTTTCAAGTCGATCTTTTTTGTTTTTTAACTCCTTTGTACGTGCGTTTAATTGTTGCTTTAAGAGGAATGTGGCGTATAGGAAGTATAATGCCTGGTCTGATGCTTTTAACTGATTTTTTTTAAGATAAAATGAGGATGAGGTTTGTTTGTCCGTGTACGTGTAGATATAAAGGCAATTTGTCTGTGAAACTGTGCTGTAACTACATAATTATACACACACGATTCTTATTTTAAGTTAATTTTGCACTATTTTCCTGAGTACTGTTAGTTAAATGAAGGTCGGTCAGTATGCAGATCTTTCATTATTCACTATTATAAAACAAAACTGTTTACATTACTGAGCAGATAATCAGTTATTCTTAGGTACACTCTACAATACATAGTAATAAAGATTTTTTATTCTGTTCTTCATCTCTTCCTATTATTCTTCTTTACTCTTTACTGCCTTTTAATTAAATGGTGGTGTATGTAACCACATAGCAATAAGTTCTGGGTTCGAACCCCAATCTGAGAATACATTATTGGAACTACACATGTAAACTAGAAGAATTATTCTATTCTTAGTTCTTTTTCCTTCTTTTACAAGTCTTCTTAGTTCTGTCACCATCCATCATCTTCTTTTATCCAATCTAACCACGATCTTCTCCAACAGTACGACGAAGGCCTCCACGGCGGAGGCTACATGGAGGGCGGCGCGATGTACCACGAACACAGACTGTCTCACCCCCACTTACCGCCAGTCCACTATCCCCCTCCCGCGGCCCCTGCGCACGCGCTGCCCGGCGAGCCCCTCGTCCACAAGAGAGACAAAGACGCTATTTACGGGTGAGTGGTAACGTGTGACTTTCAGATGGTATTTGGTATAAGGTTATGGTAAAAATTATAGCTTACTCCTTAATGTCCTTTGAGAGGATAGGTCAAGGTATTGTCGATTAGTCTCTTCTGACGATGTGATTGATTTACTTGGTGAATGCCACCTAAAGAACACAAGGACAATAGACGCCTTCTAAGACTAAAATGTCCTTTAGGAGGATAATGTCCAGATAATGTTATTTTCTGTATCTACAGATTGACTAATTAGTGTGTGTGTGTGACTAGTTTACTAACTATGCTAGAATGTACATCTGGTAAGATTTACAGAAAATTGCAACCCTTGGTCCATTTCCGAAGTGCCACTCTTAATGGAATACCTGGGATATGTTTACAATCAATACTATACCCTCAACTGTCAACTACATGTCTGAGACTAATTTACATCTTCGTGTAATACGTATAGTTGCACAATAAATATTTCAAAGAGATATACTCAATTTTGATTTTGACACCTGCTTGCTTATTTCCAGTAATATCAAAGAGTGGATCCAACCCTTCGAAACCAACTCAGCTTCTATTTTCTCCACTATCAAAACTTCAAATCTATTTCCATCCCCCAGAGTACGGCGTCAGAATCAACCCAATGTTTGTTACCACTTTAAAACAACACCAAACTTTCGCCCAATCTTTGGCCAAAGTTTGGCTATCAGTCTCAACTCGAGATGTTTGATAAAGGACATAAAGGTGCCACATTTGACGCTTAGCCATCCATTTGTGGCAATCTTAAATGTTATCTGATCAAAAGTTGTCAAGAAACTTGAGGTTAGGCGCCATTGAGAGCGAGTGGTGGGGTTCCACTGTTAGGGTTGGCGGTTACAATAGGACAGAGTTTATGCGCTCCACTTCATGTTTATAGAGGTAACAAAATGCTTAAGAATTTGTCACAATAACTTTTTAGTGGTACAATTTATGCAATGCGAAAGACAAGTTGGTTTATTCAAGTTTTAATTTTTGTTAATGTTTCTTCCAAACCCAATTTGTAAGTACGTTAGTTTATTCCAATTATAAATAAGTAAGGAATTAAATTAAGGATTTATTTGTTTATTAACGGTGGCTTGAAAATAACTTACACTAGAATATACTATCTAAGAACACTGGTATACAACATGTACGTACTGTTTTTATATATACATGCATAATCTGTTGTTATACTTTAACATAGTTAACAAACAAACATTCATTTATTAGCCGCTATAGAAGCAATTCCCTACTAAAACAAGGCCTTATTACCTATTTGAACCTTTAATGAACATACGAACTTGGTCAAGAAGAAATAAAAACGCGTTATTTATATTATAGACGTGGAAATCTATTGTTGTGCAAAGTTAAACTATAAAAAGGTTTTAAATGTTAATGAAAGGAAATTATAATGTTCTTGTTTAACATAACTGAGTCTGGCACTGGATACGCATTATTGCGAGCTTCTAATATTATTCGCTTCAGAAAACATTGTTAGAAATAATTGAAAACTGTACTAATGCAATGGTAATGTAGAAACTTTTACAGTTCTTTAGTCGTTATTCTGTGTTTCATTTAGGTACATATAAAATGAAGCCTAAATGCCACAAATTTTACAGAAACAAATAAAATGCATTTCAGCATTTATTTCCTCAAAATCACTCATTTAGACAATACAGGATTTCATTTTTAAATCAATCTGTGTTATACCATGACTACTCATTACGATAGTACAATAAAAACATTTAAAAATTCAAAAAACCTCGACAGCTATCGTGAAATTACTAATAAATACATATAAATTGCACTTTAAATGCAATAAATTTTACTGCGTTAGTTCGGTAGGACAAAAAACGCAATCTATGTCTATAGTGTTGACCTTTACATGGCGTATTTACACGGAAATTAATTAAAAAAGAAATCTTTAGGGTCTACTGACTGTTAATACACGCCATTACGTTATGGTTCTACATTATTTTATTGCGGTAGTGCGCTAATGATGCAATTTTTTCTTATTAGAATACTCCATAGATGTTTATGTCTCATTTAAAGTAAATAATTTGTAAATAAGGAAATGATTTCGATAAGAAATTCCACAATAATATTAGTTAATCATTCTCATTATCTTTTGAGTTATTTTTAGCTGGATATCCAGCCTATCAATCATACATTGATAAACAGTTGTGTAAGTTCAAATAACGCTATCACTGGGACCCCACCCCGTACGGTGGCAAAACTATAAAGATTTAATCGACGTCACGTACTGAATATCAGCATCTGATCAGTCGCGTGAGAGGTCATCCGCTAGCAATTGGACCATATCTCTTTAGTTTTATTAACGTTTACCACCTTTTTTTGAAGAAACATGACATATACTTCACTTTATTAATAATATTTATGAGCTATTTAAAAATTAAGTCCAATTTTGAATGAATGGTCAACAACAACAATTTTGACAGTTTCATTTTTATTGATCAAGGTATATAGGAATGTAGGAATATGGTCATACAGCCACTAATGTCAATGTCAAAATTAAATGTACTAAGTTAACAATACACCAATTTCCAGGCACCCACTGTTCCCCCTGCTGGCGCTGATCTTCGAGAAGTGCGAGTTGGCCACATGTACCCCCCGAGACCCTGGCGTGGCGGGGGGTGACGTGTGTTCATCAGAATCCTTCAATGAAGACATTGCAGTTTTCAGTAAACAGGTAAATAAATCAATACACACAATAGTCAATAATTCATGGCCAAGGAGGTTCTAACTGACACAGAAGACAGAAACATGAGCATGGAGGTTGTAAATTGAAAAAGATATAACCTTTAATAAAGATCAACAATTGAATCATAAATACACGCGAAATCAATCATTAAGTTTGTTCAGAAGTAAGATATTTTTGCTAATAGAATAGAGGTCTAGACTAAAATAGCGTCCCCTGAACCATTCAACACATAAAAACGATTCAAACAACCGAACTAGAATTACTCCGTACAGGCAGCTTGAATAACTTGGAATAAAACACCTGCTGCCTTTGCCCTTCGGAAAAAAGCCACCGGGGTTGCTTGATAGAAAATTTAAAATAATATTTTCAAAAGGAGTTCTTGTAATTACATCGAACGTTTGTAGGAGTTTTATAAAACAGCAGTCCTCAATAAATAAGATATAAACTGCACCTACGTATTCCCTAAACCAGTTTGTAAATGCAAAATCCAGTCAACATTCTGGCAACTTTGCATATTCATTCGAATTTTAAAACGTCGTTCAAAATGGCGCCCAGTAAATCAGTAGCAACAATTTCTCCTGCATAATGCTTTAATAACTATAAACTTGTAATTAGTAATGGTAAATTCGAGCACGAGTAAATACGACGTAGTATCGATTACAAATTGTTTACGCACAGCGTCTCGCTATTCGGATTGTTATCGATTTTTCTAAATCGAGTCGAGAGTACTTGAATTAATGATTATAATCGATTCGATGCGTGTATTTCTTTCAATTTTCATTTACCTCCTGATAAGAAATTATTTCGTTACAGATGAATGAGTTTTTAACTTTTTAAGTTTTATTTTACCAACGTAATATAACTTCTTATAAGTTTTGAATCGATGTTTGGTTGAAATGTTTTACTTTATTTTGTGAGTTAATGGTTTAAAAACATTCGTGGTTCTAAAGCGTCCCCTCTTCAATTCCAAACTAGATCCACAGGCCATAAAACTAACAAAGCACCTTGTAATAAGAGTGAGAAATGCTGATAAAGTAACATTCAAAAGACAAGCGTGATTTACGACTCCGGCTGTAGAAACAAAAAAAGATCGTCCCTTCAACCATAATCCCTTGCCAGTACAAAAAAACGTTGTTTATTCTCAAATTGTGAACAAACTTCCTGGAAGGACACTTGTTTAAAATGGCAACATTATAAAGAAAGTGTTGCTACATTTATAAAAATGATATTTCATTACGAGAACCTATAATAACATGACGAGGCAGATCGGTTAATATGTATTATTGAAATGAAATAAAAAAAGGAAGGAAAATGGAGTCATTTTGTAACAATTCGGGGCTTCGTAAAACTGGTAATCTGTACAAACCGACAATCAAATACCGTGTAATTTGTAACAGAATTATGTTACCGCGATATCTTTGTGGGTTTTTCATTTTTTGTTCAACAATAGGCTCAATAGTTGTTGACATGTTGCGGCTGATATGCAATTTAAAAAATAACTTTGATGTCTTCACATTCTCGGTTGCACCGGATGTGACTTTGTAACGACGTGCAATTTGAATTTCACTTTTAATATTTGATTGGTTTATTATTCAGTTTGTATCCTTAAAGGGGTTATTTTTGCATCATTTTTAGATATTTTGATTACAATAAAATAATGTTCATAATAGTTTCTTGTTATTTTAGTTTTCTATCGTACCGTCTATTATCGTAGTGCTGTGATAAAATATTGATAATTTATCAGTCAAAGACTTTATTGTATTATAATTATTGAAATTAAATTGTATTTATAAGTGGAAACGGCGGCGACCCGTGGGACCTCGCCGAGATAAATGATATACAGCAGTCAGTCAGTGTCATGGAACTGACCAGACTTTATTTATTTATTGACATAGGTTCCTCTCTGATAACGTATTATTATATCAGTGCTTCTCAGAGCAAACTATTGACGTTCTAGGGAAGAACCAAAATAACTTCAGGGGTCTAGACTGTAATCTATTTCTTTATGAAGGAAATTGTTTTCGTTTGTAATGAAAGCTACATTGTCTATTGTTCAAAGACATGCAGAAAAGAAACTCCTTATGAAATCACTATCTAACGTTTGGCGTCCTAGCAGTAAACATAAAAACGCTACTATCACAAACAGATTAACAGTGTAAAATGACACATTTATCAAATGTTTGGACGCGTAACACGTACGGAATCTAATCGGTCGCTTTAATTACTATAATAAAACGTTTATCGGTAGCTGTGGCACGTGAAATCGCAATAGATAGAGATAAAACGCATATCCCCTTCTCTTTCTTACGCTAAATAAGTGACGTCCATAATTCATACCACGAAATAAATCATAAACCGTAAAGTGTTTATTTTCAACGTACTTAATATGTTATAAATTTATTTAAGTGGCGTGCGGTGCGATTGTGGGCCAAATGATTGATATAGTGCCCTCCCGGTGGACGATCGGTTTAGTTGTAATACTGTCATGCCATCAGGGATACTAGCCGTCACTACCGTGTTGATGCAATGACCGAGTACGCTCGATACTCGATGCTCGAGTACCGACGATGAGTTTAGCTCTTTTTGTTGTCATTAATCGTTCTGTGAATGACAGTGAGTCAATTTTTATAGTTTGAATGGTTCGTTTGTTTATTGCTGGATTGAGATGTTTTCTAATGTCTGTCAAGTGTGACGTGGCTATTGGTAGTAAAGAGCACCCAGCGGTAGATTAATGAGGCAATTGAGACAAGGATTAAGTGTTCTTCAGCTCTGAGTGACGTCATGCACTTGATTGTTTCTTTAACCAACCTACACCACAGACTCCCTTCAAATTAGTACAAATTGTTTCTCTACTTCAATTCCTCTCATGAATAAATCTGACATTCATATAAACTTTAAAGTATTCCACAAACGATATGCCATTTACGAGACGGATTATGAAGCCATCGTGTTGAAAAAACGTTAAAACAAAAATCGCGAACAACGTCTCCGCTAAATAACTGATTCAAGAAATTTTTATAGAAACGGAAAGCATAATGAGATGTAATTAAAATTTAATTGCGGGAATTTTAATTGACAATTGTCGGGGAGACGATCTATCGATGTGGGAATCGATTCCGAAATGTTTTTTTGTTCACATCAGTAATGATAGTGAGGGGAACCTGGTATGTCGATATGTTACGTTTTTTTATTATTTTTTCCTTAAAGTTATGCATTGTTACGTCATAATACAACGCTTCATTGGCTTGACAGCTGGTGTCTTAGTCTGATTAGTTCATTAGTCAATGTTAGATTGGACCTGTCTGGAACTGATTGCAGCTGTGATAAAATAAAGCTGTTAGCTTCTAGTTTATGTAAATAGCCAAACATAATTCTAATTTAATTGTAATAATAACGTTGTTTAGGAATGTTGTTGGAATTTAACATTAAATTAATCGATCAAGGCTTACATTGATTCGATTATTTTGCATTAACCGTCTTGTTACAATATTGCAATCATGTATTGTCATTTCTTCTTTAAACGATTCCATTCGAATCCAAGCCATTAAAAGACATATTTTTTGTCAATTAACGAGTTTTCTTTCACGTTTCGATATGTTCATTGTTGTTGTGCAATGTTTGAATGGCGTGCATCGATGTCGTTACACCGATGTTCTCATTACAACGCTTTTTAGTACAGTTCACACAAAACTCCGCCGTATCGAGTTCATATTAGTTCATGCCGATTTAATTGTATATTTTTATTGGTTATTGTATGCCGTCATGGTGGTTGGTGTTGCGGGATCGTGAAGTACTCACCTGTACCGTAATCAAGTGCGTTGCTTCTGTCTTGGAACGTGTTCAGCTGTTTGTTTGTTTTTTGAAGTAAATAGATAATTGTATTGCTCTAGTAATTATAGTGCTGAGTTTCGTTTGAGCATAAAGTTAGTCAAGCGAAACCGAAATAATTGGGGGGTCTAAATGGTATAAATCATTGCTATCATAAATGCATCTCACGATAGCAGTTGTAAAATATGTGTGTTGGTGCGTTTTACTTTTGTAACATTTCGCATGCAGTCATGCAAAGTGGTCTAAAAACATATCAGTTTCATGTTTATGCCATTCATTATTAAACTTTCCCTGTTACGTCGACGGTGATTGAAAATAATTAGAAAATTACAGCATCATCAGTTTGATCGAGGTGCACCGGTACGTTGGTTGCTGGCTATAAGTCGATGCTATTACAAAGCGCTATTTGGCAGACTGATCGCCGTCAATCACCTTCAACGGGCATTTTCTAAGTATTTCTCCCATTATAGCGAGTTTACTGAATATAGACAAGTAATCGATCTTGCTATGTCGGATTAAACGATAAAAGAATATACAGTTGTGCTAATAACCAGGGTTTATAATTACGAGGCAAGTAGCGCCGCAGGAAAAAACATAGTAATGGGCACACGCACGCGCAGACAGATGATCTATCTGCAGATGCGAAGTTTAGACAGATTTATGCGTCATTGAATTTTTTTTCACATTCACGGATTGTACTTTTTCATTGCAATCAGACGAAGTCGGGTTAGTGAAGAAGTGTTAGTACGGTAACTCGTGCAGATTTATAGTGCAGATTACAGTCACAAATAATATGCCAACTTTATCTATAAACACATTAAACACGTTCATTTTCACGATGTATGCTCTCGTGTAAGGAATTTCGAAAGTGTATGAAGTGTTAGAAATGTCATAGTCGTGCAATCCCATTCATTACACTCCGTTCTGTATTGCATTACAAAAAGGATTAGCACGGAGTCTTGAACATACAAGATCAATCCCCGAGCAACCGACCCGTGAACCGACACACTGCGCCACAGATACAGCTCGTCCGACGCATTGTGACGCGCGGCGTCAGAAGACACTGCATTGTCTGTTTGTTTACATCTGTCCGTGTTCCGTTTAACGCTATAATTGACAATTGTCATGGGATTTGGACGCGCAATTTAACCTCTTTGTCG